TAAAACCCTAAAACCCTAAAACCCTAAAACCCTAAAACCCTAAAACCCTAAAACCCTAAAACCCTAAAACCCTAAAACCCTAAAACCCTAAAACCCTATGCCCAAAACCCCAACCCCCAAAGCCCAGAGGCTTCACCCTTCGGACGTCTGTCCTGTTGTTGCGGGCCTGTGCTGGACATGAAATTGGACCCCTAGACCCCGATTGCAACTGAAGTCTTACACTCTAGAACCCTGTTGCCCGAAGCCCCAAACCCGAAATCCTAAACCCTAAACCCTACTCTCAACCCAAGCTGCCCCTCTGTGAGAGGTGGCGTATCTGGATGACACCGTGATGGTGCGCGAGAAGACGAAAGCCATGCGAGCGCACGTCGCGAAGATGTCGGAGCTCTTCCACGACGCGGATACCTCCGGCGATGGCAAGGTCGACTATGAGGAGACGTGTGACTGTGAGACCCAGAGTTCCGGTTTAGGGTTTAGGGTTTAATTAGGGTTTAGGGGTTAGGGTTAGGGTTTAGGGCTAGCCCTAAACCCTAAACCCTGAAATCACGACTCCGAACCCCAGCCGGGGCGAGGAGTTCCAGCAGATCATGAAGAACAACGACGTGAATCTTGGGGGCGATTGCGGGTTCAGGGTTTGGGGATGTGGGGTTTAGGGTTTAGGATTCAGGGTTTAGGGTTTCTGGTTTTGGGCTCAGGGTTCAGGGTTTAGGGTTTAGGGTTGGGCTTACCTGGCGTGCTCTGCACCCCTGGGCCCCTCAACCCTCAACCTAGCAAACCTTCGATCCTGAACCCCTGAGCCCCTAAACCCTGAACCCTTCAACCCCTGTGTAAACATGTCTGTCTTGCAGTCAACTCCTGCTTCTGAGGACGGCGCCCTAAACCCCTCAACCCCTTTCCTCCCCTGCAAGCAACGAAGAGACTGTGGTTTAGGGTTTAGGGTTCAGGGTTTGGGGCTTGAAAATTTGGGCTTAGGGTTTAGGGCCTAGGGGTTAGGGCTTTGAGGGGCCAAGCAGCCGAGGAAGGTATGGCTTGCCGCAATGGAGCTGGACGTGAGTAACGTCGAGGAGCTCCTCCCGACCCTCTCCTTCCTGCGGGGCGTTTCGAAAATCAGGGGGCGGAAGGTGCAGGGTACCGTAGACCCTAAAGCCTAAACCCTAGACCCTATACCCGAAAACCGAAACCCTAAAGCCTAAACCCTAAACGGCCCCAAGCCCTAAGCCCTAAGCCCTCAGCCCTAAACCCTGAATTTTCCTAAGCCCCAAACCAGCAGGAGCTTTTCAAGATGCTGGACACTAACCCTATGAACTCTATAAACCTTATAAACCTTATAAACCCTACAAACCTTATAAACCCTATAAACCCTACAAACCTTCTAAACCCTATACACCCTATAAACCCTATAAACCCTAAAGCAGGAGCTTTTCAAGATGCTGGACACTGGGGGCGACGGCCGCCTATC